CATGAATCTAAACAGCTTCTGAACAGCAAAGGAAACCACCAACAAATTAAAAGACAACCTGGGGAATGGCAGAAACTTTACAAATCACATATCCCATAAGGAGTTAATATCCAAAACACACAAGAATCTCATGCAACTCAGTAGCAAAAGTAAGTAAATAGTGTAAAAGTAGAAGAGCCTGAACATTCTTCCAAAGAAGACATACCAGAGGCTGACAGGTACTTGAGAAGGTGCTCAATATCACTAATCATCAGGGAAATGCAAACCAAAACCACAATGAGATAACACCTCACAGCTCTTAGGATGACTATCATCAAAAAGAAGGATGTGGAGAAAAGAGAACCTTTGTGGACTGCAGCTGGGAATGTAAACTGGTACAGCTACTATGGACAACAGTATGGAGATACCTCAAGAAATTAAACACGGACCTACCATATGATCCAACAATCCCACTTCTGGGTATACAAAGCAAAAAAGTCACTATCTCAAAAAGATCTGTACTACCATACTCATTGGATCCTTAATTCACAATAGTGAAGGTAAGGAAACAATCTAAGTGCCCACTGACAAATGAATAGATAAAGAAAATATGACACATACACCCCCACACAGGAATATTATTGTCTTAAAAGATGGAAATCCAGACATTTGAGACAACAAGGATAAATCTGGAGGGCCTCGTGCTAAATGAAATAAGCCAGCCAGAGGAAGATAAGTTCTGTATGGCATATTGTTCTGTCAACATCCCAGTTGAAAGTTCTTTCTTCTCGGCTATTACAGTAAACTGGCCCCCATGTCTCCATTCACAACCTTCCCCTTGCCAATGGAATTTTAGGCATAAATCTGATTCTCTTACTTACTTCCTTACTTAAAATGCTTTCACGCTTTCTTACATTTCATATTTAAATGCTTTTTCTACCCATAGCATCACCAACTCAATAGACATGAGTTTGAGCAAACTCCGGGAGATAGTGAAGGACAGGGAAGCCTGGCATGCTGCAGTCCACGGGGTCACAAAGAGTCAGACACTACTTAGCAAATGAACAACCCATTGTCTAAACAGTAAAGCTCAAATGATTTTGTGCAGCTTTTTCCCTTCTGTTCCCCAAAATTCCTTCTTCCCCAAACATAGAAGTTTACTAATTGACCTTTTCTTAGCTATTGGTCTTACACTGGGCACCTGAATCTAGCCAAGTCATCCTAGACATTTTGCTTTGGGACTGACAGTCAGTTTCTCTTTGGATTTCTGCAGCATGCAAAAGCTCAGAGGCAGTCAGTGGCCATGTCTTCTGCCAAGTGAACCAGAAAAGTGGAGAAACCCAGTAAAAAAGGAGAGAGAATGAAGGTGTGGAGAGAGAGAATGAAGGTACGCAGCGAGTTGAACCCACAGGTGGGAAACTGCTCCATCCCAGCTCTTCTTTAGACTCCAGGACAAGGATGAAGCTGGACCCAAAGTCAGACAAGTCAGACTCTGGCAATAAACGCCCCCTTGTAGGCTGATGTGAACTGAGCTTCTGATACCTGCACGCAAGTCAGTCTGAATTCCACTACACATGGCAACTTGGAGGTTCAACCACACCCTGCCTTGCCGGTTTCATTTCCCAGTGTTCTGACTACCCCTTCATTTCACCACACACTCACTCCTCTGCATCAGAGCCACGAGGTCATGCCATTTCTGTGCTCATTGTCCTTTGTATCTACCACATGACATTGTAGAATTCCTACTGGTTTATGTATTATTTTCTAAGTTCTTCAAGGACAATCTTGTTCATCTATGCAGCTCACCGCCTAACACAACTGGAAAGTGCATAGCAGGTACTTGACAAATGTTTGATAAGTCAGGTTATTTCAGCAAACAAAGTGAATCAGCGTTTGCCATGCAGGCTTCCCAGGTGGCACAGTGGTAAAGAATCCACTTGGAAATGCAGGAGAGGCAGGAGACTCACATTTGATCCCTGGGTCAGGAAGACTGATCCCCTGGAAGAGGAAATGGCAACCCTCTCCAGTATTCTTGCCTGGAAAATCCCATGGACAGAGGTGCCTGGCAGGCTACATTCCAGGGGGTCGCAAAGAGTATGGCACGACTGAGTGACTGAACATGCACATACACAGGCTCTAATAAGTTTGCCCCCAAAAGACCAATCTATTGTCTTATTATTCAATTAAAAAAGCAGTCTTTCATGAATAATGTAATTTTGTGTTTGAACAGAAGAGGAACATAAACGAGATAAACTGACCAGGGAAAGCAGTATGAACTTCAGAGGCCCCAAGCCCTGGTCCACAATCTCCTAAATCAGTTATCTGAATACAGAGACTAATTTCACACTTGCCACATCTTCCTTCTCATACATTTTATACTTATTCATTCTTCTAAATCCTTTGACCTCTAAATCTAGAAATGTCAATCACTCTTGTGGTATCTGCCAATTGCACTGAAGTGTTTGTTCTTAAACAAGGTAGACTACTTAGCCTCACAAAAAAATCTACCCTATCAGCTCATTTTAAAACTTAGGGTTTTTGCCTGAAAACTTCTTTAACCTCGAATGTATTCCCAAATAAATTTCCAAGTGAGTGTTTTTGTTTGTTTAATATATTACACATTACCTAGAAGCCAAGGGAAAAAAAGACTTTTTTTTTTTTTTTGGTTTTATTTTCTACTCAACCAAAGAAAGAAAATAAGCTACAATTTCCTTATGTCAAAGCTGGTTTATTGAACTTCATGAGGGCAAAATTACAGTGACACTACTCCACAACAAAATTATTTAACTCTCGTTTAGATTTCAAGAAGAAATGTATTAGCAACATACTGTCATTATGAACTAACTTTATTATAGCCTGGATTAGCTTCCTTTGGTGTTCTCCCAAACTATGACTTTTCCAAAACATATCTAAAGTTTTCAACTAAAGGACACCATTAAAACAAACTCACACGGGAGTTATAAAACTTGTGACTTGTGCATTAAAAATTAATAATAGCCACCATTTTGGAAGTGATTTGTCAATAGTTGGTGAAGTGTTTTATAAATATTTTGGAAAATATCTAAAAGCTTCATCCCCATTCAACTGATAAGTATGTTCCTTTTAAAAATGAAAACAAATCACCACAAATGGGATACAAATATTTTTAAATTAATAAATATTAAAGTGGAAAAAATAAGTCCTTTCAGAGAACTTTAAAGGATATTTACTACTCACTCCTTACAAAAGGAAATAAAGTTAAATTACTTAAAAAAAAATATTAATAACAGCATTGAAAAAACATAAATGTGCTTGGAAAGTCTGTAAACTTTCTTCCCCCACTTTAGAAAATGTTTTGATAAGCAATAAACAGATTCCCTTCTTTAAAAAATTGTTAACACCCACAACAATGATAACAGCTGTCATTGTTTTGCTATAAAAATAGTTACAAATTAATATCAATTTAGATAAAGTCAAACCACTTTTAATTCTAGCATGATAAGAAAAATGGATTCATCTCATTAAAAACAAATACAATTTCTTTTTCCTTAAGGTCTAGTGTTTAAAATAGAATAATTATTTCCCTTAATTATTATTTTCAGTTAGTTTATTTAATAGAATTATCTTGTTTTTATAACTAAATTACTCAACCAGGACCACCATGATTAAGTAAAAAATTCTAAACTAGATTAGATCACATATTTCATTGGTTTCCCACATTCTGAAAATATTTTATGTATAATCACCTTTCGGCTTAATGTCCTCTAGAATGGTAAATTCAGCAATCTTTCAGAATTAGTGAATGTGCACACTTCAGTTAGAGTTCATGGCTTACATTCCATTCATGTAACAGCGTCATATGCAAGCTTATTATTTCCTATGTGCAAAGTCTTACATTCAAAACAAAAGTATTTAGGGTAAAATACTTTCTGAAATATTCTTTCCATCACTGAGGAATTGACTAGATATTCTGTAATACCTAACTTATCTGTCATACTGAGGAGGAGTAGTTTGTTGTGACCATAAGATTTAAAGATCTAGACAGCAGTACACTATGACACAATTCTATTACAGAAATAAAGGCAGACTCACAGCAATTATAGGTGTGCCCTCAGAGTCACAACTCAAGAGGAAGAGACGATGGATGCGCTTAGGCATTAGGCTGGCTGGGGATGGGGGAGCATGGGATCCTGTGTCAGAGCCCAGTCTGAAATGACTAAAAGCCAGAGCTGGGAGGCCTCTTGTGGCAGTCAGGAGCCACGCTTACTTGTTTCCCCTAGACTGTGCCTTCTCAAATCTTTCAACTAGTTTTTTACTGTTTAAATATAGCAAAGCAAAGTATAAAGCACCTTATTATGTCATTTCATTTGCATTAAAATCTGATTTACTTCTGCATATTTTATAGAATTACTCTTTTTAAAAATGACAATATTTTTACAGACCTGATTGACAATGTTTACAAAGATCAAACATCTAGAACTCTTGGGAAAGTCATTCTTTCTGGGCTGAGAACCAGAAAACATTCTAGGTCTTCTTCTACCAGATCTGAAGTCTTAGCTCTTAAAATGTACCAATAATAATGCAATTAATATACTAACAATACAAAGAAAGAACTCTAGGGAGAGGGAAATACCAGTTTTATCCTACTGAGAATACTTCCTATTCAAAGGACATACCAGTAAGTGCCCTAAACCCTTAATATATTTTTTCAATTCCAGGAACACAGGATTAAACAATCACTGACTCTTAAAATCCCATTATGCTCTCATATGAAGCCTCCTCCTTGCGCTCTCAATGCAAAGATGTTCTGATTCATCCTAATATTGCTTCATTTCAACCTCACCTGGAAACTTTTTCCTTGTGGTGTCACAGTGACAAACTTGATTAAGTAGACACAAAATACAAAAATAAGCATGACAATGATAAACAGTAACGTGTCAGGATGATCCACTGTATCTGAGATTAAATTCTATGACTTATCACTGTCATACTTCAGAAGTACTTCTTTAGTCAATACTAGATACTGTAATAAAGACCGTGATTTAGCACCAGCATGTCATTGCAGGCTTTGGTTCAGGCTTCAGGGTAATTCCGTTATCAGGGGGTTGACTAAGCATTAGCGGCTTGTGGCTCTTGAGCTTATGAGCCAAGGTCATAAATATCGCTTCCACATGGTCATTATCATCGGGGTTTTTAGCAGAGGTTTCAAACAAAGGCATACTGTGGGTGTCAGCAAATTTCTGTGCCAGGTCTGTGGGTACCTGAATGGCACTTCTCAAGTCACATTTATTTCCAACAAGAATCCGTGGTATATCGGTGGCTAGCAAATGCTGTTTGCATTCTTCTATCCAAGACGGCAGGCTGTGAAAACTCGCCATGTTGGTCATATCATACACGAAGACAACAGCGTGCACGTTTCTGTAGTAGTGCTGGACCATGCTTTTTCTGAATCGTTCCTGCCCCGCTGTGTCCCATAACTGGATCTGAAAGTGGAAAAAAGGAGAGAAAAACTGAAAATTCCATCCAGTCATACACATAGAAAACTTTCACTACCTTTGCACGGTCCTCTGTACTTCTTCACTTATACTACTTTGCTCCCTTCTAAAGTGCCTTTTTGGTGTTACTGATGTGATTTAAATGTCATGATGCTAGTCCAGTTACTTCATGATTAACACAAGTGTCAGAACAAGTACTTCAATTTAGCACTTTAATTCAGCAAGTCAAGTTTGTTTGGAAAAAATTATACCTCAAAAATGGATTTTAAAATGCTAAAAGAAACAGATATCAGATTTTAAAAACATGTTAAGTGTCTAATTTCTGCAAATCTGGTTACAATACGCCCTTCCCTGCCTTTCACTCATGTAATTTAAAATAGTAGAATTAGGATAGATGTGAAAAGTCATGGGGTCTAGCCTCTACATCAACATATATATACATCTGACAAAATCCAGGCCCCTTTAAAAAATTTAAATGACTAGGAAATCACTTATCTATCCTAAACATCTCTGCCAATAAAAATATTCCAATACCTCCCAATGGAAATACGGGGTGGCGGGGAATGATATCTAAAGCTTAAATACAAGTCACATGATTCTCTTAAAACACGGAATTTATTGTGCCTCTGCCTAGTTCCTAAGAAAAAGTAAATGATGAGTGTAGTAATCACAATGGAAAAGTCTAGGGACAGAGATGCTCAGACAGCTTTTTTTTTTTTTAAATTTTTGACCGTGCTGGGTTATCATCACACACGGGCTTTCTCTAGTTTCAGCAAGTGGGGGCTTCTTGTTGCAGAGCATCGGCTCTAGGTAAGCAGGCTTCAGTAATTGTGGCACACGGGCTGAGCTGCTCTATCCCATCTAGGATGTTCCAAGACCAGGGATTGTGAACCTGTGTCTCCAGCACTGGCTGGAGGATTCTTATGCACTGTGCCACCAGAGAAGTCCCTTAGATAATTTTTAACTGAAAGACTTGTATTATTTATAGATACTCAGAGTATGGAAGCCTAAACAGATGACTTCTCTGCTGCTGCTACTGCTGCTAAGTCACTTCAGTTGTGTCTGACTCTGTGCGACCCCATAGATGGCAGCCCGCCAGGCTCCCATCCCCAGGATTCTCCAGGCAAGAACACTGGAGTGGGTTGCAATTTCCTTCTTCAATGCATGAAAGTGAAAAGTGAAAGTGAAGTCGCTCAGTCGTGTCTGACTCTTCGCGACCCCATGGACTGCAGCCTACCAGGCTCCTCTGTCCATGGGATTTTCCAGGCAAGAGTACTGGAATGGGTTGCCATTGCCTTCTCAGAGATGACTTCTCTAGAGAATATCAATAACTTCAGACATGCAGATGACACCACCCTCAGGGCAGAAAGCAAAGAGGAACTAAAGAGCCTCTTGATGAAAGTGAAAGAGGAGAGTGAAAAAGCTGGCTTAAAACTCAACATTCAAAAAACTAAGATCATGGCATCTGGTCCCATCACTTCATGGCAAATAGATGGGAAAACAATGGAAACATGGGCAGACTTTATTTTCTTGGGCTCCAAAATCACTGCAGATAGGGACTGCAGTCATGAAATTAAAAGACGCTTGCCCCTTAGAAGAAAAGGTATGATCAACCTAGACAGCATATTAAAAAGCAGAGATATTACTTTGCCAACAAAGCTCCGTCTAGTCAAAGCTATGGTGTTTCCAGTAGTCATGTATGGATGTGAGAGTCTATAAAGAAAACTGAGCATCAAAGAATTGATGCTTTTGAACCGTGGTGTTGGAGAAGATTCTTGCGAGTCCCTCGGACTGCAAGGAGATCACACCAGTCAATCCTAGAAGAAATCAGTCCTGAATATTCATTAGAAAGACTGATGTTGAAGCTGAAACTCCAATACTTTGGCTACCTGATGCGAAGAACTGACTCATTAGGAAAGACTCTGATGCTGGGAAAGACTGAAGGCAGGAAGAGAAGGGGACGACAGAGGATGAGATGGTTGGATGGGATCACCGACTCAATGGACATGAGTTTGAGAAAGCTCCAGGAGTTGGTGATGGATAGGGAAGCCCAGAATTCTGCAGCCCATGGAATGGCAGAGTCTGACATGACTGAGTGATTGAACTGAAAGCAATACCAAAGGAGAGAAAAACTGAGGGTATACTGTAGACGGCCCCCAAAGTAAGTCGTATATAAAAGACGAAGTGCTGAAACATGGCAGTAAGTGCTCAATTAAGACGTAATGAATTAATGAATACACTTTAAAAATATGGTTAGAGGTGGAAATATTGATCACCACTCTCAGGCTATCTTAATTTTTCAGTTCTGATTTTTTTCATCTATTTTTTTTTTAATGGTAGCTCTTCTTAGTTCAAGTGTATCCATTTTTGAAATAGTCTCCCTTTCTTCCTAAGTCTAACTTTGTTCAAGGTAGAAATATAATATAAGGCATATCCTGGAGATACTGCGGATTCAGTTCCAGACCACTGCAATAAAACAAATATCACAATAAAGCAAGTCACATGAATTTTCTGGTTTCCTACTGCATGTAAAAGTTACGTTTACACTATATTGGTAAAGAATCCGCCTGCAATGCAGGAGACCCTGGCTCAATCCCTGGGTTGGAAAGATCCCCTGGAGAAGGGAGTGGCAACCCGCTCCAGTATTCTTGCCTGGAGAATTCCATGGACAGAGAAGCCTGGCGGGTTACAGTCCATGGGGTTGCTAAGAGTCAGACACAACTAAGCACTAACATGTTGAACTTTCAAAAGGTGGAAACAATCCAAATACCCACCAACTTAAGAATGGGTAAATAAAATATATATCCATATAATGGAACATTATTCAGCCATAAAAAGGAATGAAATATTGACACATGATACAACATGGATGAACATTATGCTTAGTAAAAGAAGCCAGACACAAAAGACCACGCATCATAAGATTCCATGTATATGAAACTTCCTCTATAAGGCAAGTCTCTAGAGATAGTAAATAGATTCGTGGTTGCCAGGATCTGAAGGAACGGGAAGAATGAGGAGTGACTGATAATGGGTAAGCGGTTTCTTTCTGGACTGGTGAGATGTTCTGGAATTCGTAAGTGATGACGTAACACAGGCTGTGAACACACTAAAAACCACTAAATTGTCTATTTTCAAAGCATAAATCTTAAATATATGTTTTTTTTAGAATGAAAAAAAATCCCACTTCAAACTGTATCTTTAACATTCAGACAGATATTTTGGGAATGACTTGGATGATCTATATAAAAGCCGTCCAAAGAACTGGAACTGACTTCCTCTTTTAATAACATTTTCCCAGCTCAGATATCCAAAATTCATTTCATTGATGAAGAATGATTTATAATGCAGAGTACATATTTAAGTTAAAACAATAAAAAGTACACAAGAAGGTAACAGACCAAAACATGAACAGTGGCTGTCTTTTGTAGAGAACAGACTCATGGACACAGAAGGGGAAGGACAGGGTGGGACAAATTGAGAGAGCAGGACTGAAATACACTGGAATACATACATTACCGTGTGTGGAACAGACAGCTAGTGGGAATCTGCTGGATAGCGCAGGGAGCTGAGCCTAGCACACTGTGACAGCCTAGAGGGCGGGAGGTGGGAGGGAGGGGACATGTATATTACCTATGGCTGACTTTTACGGACCTAAGGCAGAAAACAACACAAGAGTGGAAAACAATTATCCTCCAATTAAAAGTAATTTTTAAAATGGTTGCATTTAAGCCAAATTCCCCCCTTTATTTCTACTTTTCTGTTTTCCGTAAAAAATTACATTTGTTTTAACAAACTGAAGTTTAAAAAAAAATCATGCAGAATTTAGACCTGTCTCACAGAACTGTGAAAGTCCTCAATAAATGCAAGTGGTGATGATGAGGACATTCATCCTTAAGAATACTTGTTTGTTTAAGCTGGGATTGATGCAACAATAAGCCTCCTCCCATCAATCTTACTCAAAACACTCTGATCATATCAAGACTTCCAGGAAAGAAGAAGTATGGGATAACTCCTCACACTTGACCAGAGAGCCTTAAAGTATATAGTATGTTAGTGAGTCACTTACAAAGAAATACTGCTGTCTCTCAGTATCCATGGGGGACTGGTTCCAGGAACCCCCACCAAAATCTAACACCAAAATCCACGGATGCTGAAGTCCTTTATATAAAATGGCATAATATTTGCATTTAACTTACATCTGTATACTTTAAGTCATCTCTAAATTACGTATAATACCTAATGCAATGTAAATGCTATGTAAACAGTTGCCAGCAATGGGCAAATTCAAGTTCTGCCTTGGGGAATTTTTTTCCCCCAAATATTCTCCCTTAGATACAGAGGGTCAACTGAATTTAAAAGGAAGCTTCAAAATTTCACTCACTGAATTACTAGAACAAGTGAAGGCCTAGGACACACTGTTACGCCGCCTGCTGCCTTTCAGGTCTGCACTGAGGTGAGGGCAGAGAGGACAGGCCAGCTGATAAAAACTGTCAGCCACGAAGGCTCGAGAGAACCATGACTGAGAGAGACAGATATAGCTCCCCAGTGGGGAACAAGCCTTATGATAACCTAGAAAAGTCTTTAGGTTTAGCTCTGAGTGCAGTGGTTCACAATGCTTAGAAAAGAAGAGAAAATGACACTTTGGAAACTACAGAAGGGACACTCTTTTGTCTGGCAGATGTTAAGTTAGGAAGTGTTTTCAGAGCAATTTTTCCCAATTTGATACTTAATATCTTAGGAAAGAGAATGGCTCACAGGTGCTTTTACAGGGTATTCTCCCATTTGAGACATTAAAAAGACAACGTAAAATATACTTTTAAAACATTTCATGAATCCTGACTTTAAGTCCAAGTATCAAGTACCAATACAAATGGCAATCTGTTTGCTAAATCCTGAGAAGTTTCTTACTATTCCTGAAAGCTCTTTTTAGTAGTTTTATTACCAAAATGAGAAATGATCTGGCAAATTGACTTAATACTTTTTTG